CACGAGGATGTTTTGAGAAACGTATCCAAAAACACGAATTCCATCTGGTCAGCGTTTTCTTATTCGGCGTTTCGACACTCGGCGGAAGAGGGGGGGAGGGGGGGGGGTCTGGCTCCAGACCTCTGCTTGGTGCGACCGTTTGCAACCGTGCGTGCTGGGGGGGAGACTCCACCTGCTCGAAACAGGCACCAAAAACAGCCGAAATCTACTCCATGGAGGGGGGGGGACGGGGGGGTGCAAAGGCCCGCGCCGATCGGCAAAACAACGAATAAAAAACGATGCCCTCTGAACGCTGGGCGCAATCGAGCTGATTTGGTAAATGCTGTCCAGTGGTCGCATGCCTCGGGACAGAGCGGCAGGCCAGAGACTCAAACCACGGCGCCCTGGCATGAGAAAGGCACATGTGCGCGCGAGCGCGACAGGCTGCGGGAGCACGTCAACGTTTTTTTACTCGGCGTTTCGACATTGGGCGGAGAGGGGGGGGGAGGGGGGGGATCTGGCTCCGGACCTCTGCTTAGTGTTCCTACTCTAGCCTCGATTACCGGAAAGAATTTCGAGTACAAAAATACCGAAACTCTACGGTTTTCGCGCGTCGGGCCCTGGGAGGCACTTGTCCGACACTGTTTCGACACTTTTCCAGGTGCTCGAAATTATTCCTGGGATGTGGTCCTTAAGCACGATGGGGGCAACATAAGCTTAGAGCGACTGCTTGCAGCAGTGCGTCCCACGGAGGAGGGACTCCACCTGCTCGAAACAGGCGCCTCCCCCCAAAAAACAAGATCCACTCTATGGAGGGGGGGAGGGGGGGGGGAGGGCCCGCGCCGATCGGCAAAACAACGAATAACAAAAACGATCACCACTCCCTCTGAAGCTTGAGCAGGGCGCCCAACTCGGATACGGTGCGGGAGAAAAAGAAAAAAGAGAGCGACGATCCTTCTGCGAAGGGCCGTCGGGGGAGAACTTTCTGGTGAGGTGCGTTCCTGCCGAGCTTTCCATCCCAGCGATCAGAAACAGGCGGGGGTATGCCTGGCAGGGCGCGGGGAAGGGCGGTGGAGGGCGCAGGATGGGGGCGCCGTGCCGAGCATCCGGAATGGCAGGGGCGCGCTCTCGGAACGTGCACCCGTGGGGAAGTGCAGTGGGGAACAGTCCACAACAAAACTTGGTGGTCTCCAAACCAGGTGGTGAAACACCCGGTGGTGACCCCGATTCCCCCAAAAAATAATTCTGGGTCACCACAAAGTTTGGGGAGACGCGGTCGCCACGAGGTTTTGCGTTTCCTGGTCCAGCCAGCGCTCGAAAACCATGACCCAAATCGCCCAAAACTCACCACCGGGTGTTCTCACCACCACGTTTGGGGACCACCAAAGAACCTTCCACGAGAAACCGAGACCCAGAACCCCAGGGCGTCCCTTGATTTTTGGTGTGGGAGCGTCACGCTTTCCACCGCAAGACCATCGGAACCCAAGAAGCCCAGGGCACCCTGGAGGCGAGCAGGGTGCTTCTTGGCATGGGCCCCCACTGCAATGACGCAGGGAGCCTTGACCAGGCACCACTGGCCGAGCAGGAGCGCAGCGAGCGCGAGCTCACGGCACAGAGACTGCCAGCGGTCGGCAGGCACAATCGGAGGAGAGATCAAGCACCTCGAGGCGCTCGGCAACGGTGGAGGAGAAAGGGCCTGAGAACCAGTAGCAGGTCGGACATGTCCCCCAACAGGCGGGCGGATTTTGGGGCGAAGAAAAATAATGACAATACTCATAATAATCATACTATGAAGAAGAAGAAGAAGAATAATAATCATCATCAGCATCATCACCATCATCAGCATCAGCATCAGCATCAGCATCAGCATCAGCATCAGCATCAGCATCATCCCCATGATCAGTATCAACAGCATCATCATATCATCTTCATCATCATCATCATCATCATCATCATCATCATCATCATCATCATCATCATCATCATCATCATCAGCAGCAGCAGCATCATCAGCATCATCATCATAAAATACTTGAAAGATCGTCCCCCGACTAATTTTGGACTCTTTTCTGAACTTCCCTCCTGTAGAGGGACAGGCCCGACTCAACAGCAGCAAAGGCAGGGAATGAGCAACAAACCCGCTGCAACCTGGGCCGCCGACCCTCACGCGCGCACCTCGGGCAACCTCCTCGCGACCGACCCTCTGGGCGGCGCGCAGGCAGGCGGTCAAGATCCACTGGCGAGCGAACATCCGGATGGGGTGGCCACTAGCTTGGGCGCCCGAATTATCCGGGGTAGCTCGGGCCCGGGGCAACTCGGGTTCGGAGCCCCGAAAAAACGAACCCGACTTGGCCCTGACCCGAGTTACCCCTGATGATTCGGGGCTCTGACTAACGACCGATGATGGGCTTGTTCCCACCACCACCACCACCACCACCACCATAAGTTGGAGGGGGGAAGGAGGAAGGGGGTGGATGATGAGGAATAGGAGGAAGAACAAGAGGGGGAGGAGGACCCCCTCCCCCCTCAAACTTATGGTGGTGGTGGTGGAAAACAGGCCCATCAACAACCGAGGAGCAGATCTGCGCAACGCTCCGCGGCTGCTGGCAGCAGACAAGGCGGGCACAGGAAATCACGGCACCGCCGCACACCGCGGGGGCCCATATGCGGCACGGCAAGCTCCGAGAGAGCGCAGCCGGCCAGAGGCACCGCACCCAGTCGGTCGCGAAAGAGCGGGAGCGCCACGTCGCGGCTGCTCTGTAAGCGACGAAAGAAGGAAGTCCAGTGCCCTTTTGGTCGGTGGATCTCTCAAGCTCTCCGCCGCCTCTGGCGGTGCGCGTTGCGAACAGGAGCACAGCAAAGCCACAGGAGAGCGCGACATTGACAGTGTAGCTCCGCACACGTGACAGATGTTGAAGAGCAGGAACACAGCAAAGCCCCAGGAGAGCGAGGCATTGCTCTGTAAATGACGAAGCAGGGAAATCCAATGTCCCCCAGGAACCGGGAGAGGATGGAAGCCAGACGGCCTCAATGATTGCGGGGGGGGGGCCTGCAGACGTGACCGGTGCAGAGATCCTGTACCGCTGCACGTTGCATTTGACTGTAGCAACTGGGCGAGGTACGACAGCACGGGCATCGCCGAGGTGCTGTAGGCAAAGCATTGACCGTCATCGCGGCGCCAGCTGCAGCCTGGTGCTTAGCACGCGGACGCCACTTCTGGGCAGCCGGCCGCCACCGCACGGCACGCGAGACCGGGGGTACGATGTACAAACGCCTGGGCACTTGCACGCTCCAGCGACGGCGAGTGCAGGCCATTGTGGTGCGATGGAGTCAAGCAGGGCGAAAGATCTGCTCTCGATCCTGGGCAGGCACAATCCACACAACGTGATGGGGTCAAGCTTAGTTGGCTTGACGCGCGCGGTTAGCAAGCGCACGCCTGGGCCTGAAGGGTGCGAGACATGGCGCTAAGCGGGCGTGCCTCTGCTAAGAATAATCCGATGTCGTCAGCACAATCCGCCAGCAGTGGTTCCAATGGAAACAGCACGCGGAGGTGACGAAGCGGAGCGTCGAATGCGAATGCCAGAGGGGCCCACCCAGAGGGCAATCCTGCAAGACTCCTCAGCTGATGGGGAACACTTTTCTGGCGGACCCAAGCCTCGCAAAGCCTGGTGGGAGCTCGCACAAAGCATGAATGGCACCCATTGAACCTCATGGGCAAGAAAGGAGAATAACAAGAATACCGGGGAGAGGCCAGGGAACGGAGAGAACGAAAGAGGAGGAGGCTGGGGACGAAATACAGGGTAAAGATGAAGAATTGGAAGGGAAGGATGGGGGGGGAGGTGAAGGACGAGAAAGGGGAGAGAGGGAGAGAGAGAGGGGAATAATACATAGAGAGAGAGGGAGAGAAAGAGAGAAGGGAGGTGAGAAGAGGAGGAAGCGGAGGACGAGGAAGGGGGGAACTGAAAGCTGGGCTGGCCTGCCTCCGGGGAGGGGGGGGAGCAGGAGGGTGGAGAAGCACAGGCGGTGCCATCCTGCCATTACAGCCCGCCACCCAAAAAAGGGGGGCGGCAGGCCGTGGAGAGGACGAGGAGGGGGGAAGGAGAGGAAGGAGGGGGCAGGGAGAAGGAAGCTGAAGAGGACGAGGGGGAGGGGGAGGAGGAGGAGGAGGACGACGAGGGGGAGGGGGAGGAGGAGGAGGAGGAGGAGGAGGAGGAGGAGGAGGAGGAGGAGGAGGAGGAGGAGGGGGGAGGGAGGAGGAGGAGGACGAGGGCAACGGCGAAGGCAAAGGCAAAGGCGCACAGAGAGGCATCCAGTCTCGCACCTGCTGGCACAGGGCCCCAGCGAGGTATCTGTGGACGCGGGGCGGGGGCAGCACCCCCCCAGGACCGCCCGGGGCGCCGCCTGGCCCACCAAGAGCACACGCGGGGCAGGCGCACCCCGCCGCGAGAGGGCTTCCGGGAGGACGGGGGAGGGAGACGAGGAGCAGGAGGGGACGGCGGGGGGGGGGAGGAGGAGGAGGGGAGGGGGAGGACGGGGGAGGGAGACGAGGAGCAGGAGGGGACGGCGGGGGGGGGGGGGGGAGGAGAGGGAGCTCGGCCGCCCCGGGACGCAGCACGCGACCCGCAGCGTGTCGACGCGGAGCTCACCACGCAGATTGAGATCGCAAGTTCGGCGCGATGCGTCCGCCAGAACGTGGGCCAACGCGCTGAGCCAACACGCAGCGGGCCAACACGGACGCTTCGGACACGGCACGCGCTGCGCCTCACAACGGGCGCATCGGGGCAGCTTAGAGAGGGAGGAGGAGAGGGGTAGGAGGAGGAGGAGGAGGAGGAGGAGGAGGAGGAGGAGGAGGAGGAGAAGGAGCAGCAGGAGCAGAGGGGGAGCAGGGAGGGAGACAAGGAGCGGGAGGGGACGGGGTGTGGGGGGGGGAGATTGGATGTGGTAAAGTCAAGCTTCATGTGCTTCATTAACATATGACGCATGTCTGCAATCATTAAGCATACATTTGAATGTGCTAAAGTCGAGCAGGGAGGACGCGAGGGGGGAGCGCGACGGCCAAGACGAAGGGAGGCGCGGCAGCACGCGCCGCGGATGCTGCGCGAGGCGGCCGACCCCACCGGACCTCCGCGCGAACCACCCTGCATCGCGACGCGACACGCGCACTCCGAGGCCGAGCGTGCCCTCTTCGCCCAGGCTATCGTCGAGACCCGACCGCCCACGCATCTGCCGAAGCGGGCATGCGCCAAGGCCTCCTCGGAGACGCAAGCCGAGACGAGGACGAGATCGGGTGAGGGTGAATCTTGGCGGCGAGCCCCCCTCCGCTGCCGGACCGGAGAGGCCGTCGAGGAGAGAATGAGCCAGCTGGGGCCCACCGACGACGCCTGGCTCAGCGCCGAGGGCAACGGTGTCATCTGGGCGCCCGCCCGCCAGCGACGTCACCGTCGTCGTCACCCCCGCCGTCGCTGTCGCCGCCGGGGCGTGAACTCAGACTCGGCGGCGAGCCCGGGGGGGAAGTGAGCAGGGGCGGGCCTTCGCGGCAGGCTCGGAAGTCCCTCGGCATTCTGAGAAGTTGTCTGAGACTTCCCCCAGGGCACAATTATCCCGGCAAAGCAACCTAACAGCGATGTGTAGGAGCATATCTGGAAGCATTCCCCTTACGATTCAGATGAGAATCAAGTTGTAGAATTCTGCTGCTCTCGCAAAGTGGTCGCATTCGCGATGACAGTCGCAGTGGCAACGGCAGTCGCAGTCACAGCCTCAGCCTCAGCCTGCCTCAGCCTCAGCCTCAGCCTGCCTCAGCCTCAGCCTGCCTCAGCCTCAGCCTCAGCCTGCTTCAGCCTCAGCATCAGTCTGCCTTCAGCCTCGGCCTCAGCCTCAGCCTGCCTCAGCCTCAGCCTGCATCAGCCTCAGCCTCAGCCTCAGCCTGCCTCAGCATCAGCCTGCCTCAGCCTCAGCCTCAGCCTGCCTCTGCCTCAGCCTCAGCCTGCTTCAGCCTCAGCCTCAGTCTGCCTTCAGCCTCGGCCTCAGCCTCAGCCTGCCTCAGCCTCAGCCTGCATCAGCCTCAGCCTCAGCCTCAGCCTGCCTCAGCATCAGCCTGCCTCAGCCTCAGCCTCAGCCTGCCTCAGCCTCAGCCTCAGCCTGCTTCAGCCTCAGCCTCAGTCTGCCTCAGCCTCGGCCTCAGCCTCAGCCTGCCTCAGCCTCAGCCTCAGCCTCAGCCTCAGCCTGCCTCAGCCTCAGCCTCAGCCTCAGCCTCAGCCTCAGCCTCAGCCTCAGCCTCAGCCTCAGCCTCAGCCTCAGCCTCAGCCTCAGCCTCAGCCTCAGCCTCAGCCTCAGCCTCAGCCTCAGCCTGCCTCAGCCTCCTCAGCCTCAGCCTCAGCCTCAGCCTCAGCCTGCAGCCAGCCTCAGCCTCAGTCTGCCTTCAGCCTCGGCCTCAGCCTCAGCCTCAGCCTGCATCAGCCTCAGCCTCAGCCTCAGCCTGCCTCAGCATCAGCCTCAGCCTCAGCCTCAGCCTCAGCCTCAGCCTCAGCCTCAGCCTCGCCTGCTTCAGCCTCAGCCTCAGTCTGCCTTCAGCCTCGGCCTCAGCCTCAGGCTGCCTCAGCCTCAGCCTGCATCAGCCTCAGCCTCAGCCTCAGCCTGCCTCAGCATCAGCCTGCCTCAGCCTCAGCCTCAGCCTGCCTCTGCCTCAGCCTCTGCCTGCTTCAACCTCAGGCTTTATCTGCCTTCAGCCTCGGCCTCAGCCTCAGCCTGCCTCAGCCTCAGCCTGCATCAGCCTCAGCCTTAGCCTCAGCCTGCCTCAGCATCAGCCTGCCTCAGCCTCAGCCTCAGCCTGCCTCAGCCTCAGCCTCAGCCTGCTTCAGCCTCAGCCTCAGTCTGCCTGCAGCCTCGGCCTCAGCCTCAGGCTGCCTCAGCCTCAGCCTCAGCCTCAGCCTGCATCAGCCTCAGCCTGCATCAGCCTGCCTCAGCATCAGCCTCAGCCTCAGCCTCAGCCTCAGCCTGCCTCAGCCTCAGCCTCAGCCTGTTTCAGCCTCAGCTTCAGTCTGCCTTCAGCCTCGGCCTCAGCCTCAGCCTGTCTCAGCCTCAGCCTGCCTCAGCCTCAGCATCAGCCTGCCTCAGCATTCAACATGTGGCCCGGGAATGGAGTTCTGGAAACTCGAAGAACACGAAGTGGCCTACAGTTGGCTCCGGGCATTCAAAATCATGCCCAGGAATGGAGTTCTGGAAACTCGAAGACCACGTAGTGGCCTAGAGTTGGCTCCGGGCATTCAAAAACATGCCCAGGAATGGAGTTCTGGGAACTCGAAGACCACGTAGTGGCCTACAGTTGGCTCCGGGCATTCAAAATCATGCCCAGGAATTGAGTTCTGGGAACTCGAAGAACACGAAGTGGCCTAGAGTTGGCTCCGGGCATTCAAAATCATGTCCAGGAATGGAGTTCTGGGAACTCGAAGACCACGAAGTGTGTAACTGTTTGCTTAAAACGACTTCCGCGGATTCTCCCCGGATCCTGCCCGGACCCCCCTGGGGAGTCATGATGCTTTCTTTTGAGACCATTAGAAACCTATCAGTCTTCGCTGCTAGGTAAAAAACCTCTCAGAAGGCGCGAGGGCTCCTGTAAGGCCTTCGCATGCTCACTTCCCCCCCTCGCTCGCCGCCGAGCATCGAGAATCGCTGAGAGATCTGGCGGTTCTGGAGGACGTATCGGGCGCCACGGCCTTCTCAGAGCGTTCCGGAACGCTCCGAGAGCGATCCGGAACGCTCTGGGACGGAGCTGTCCTTAGGTCGGGCATATCCTCCTGCAGGCAGATGTTGGGTGAACATTCAAACAAATTGTTTGAAAAAATCAACGAATAGTCAAAAATAGTAGAAAGATCGTCCCCAGACTATCTTTTGACTATTTAGGAATATTCCTCCTGTAGAGGGACGGGTCCGACTTAAATCCCACCAGCCCTGTGGGCGTCGGTGGTTTAGAGAGTTTCCTCTTCCACCCCTCCATCTTCCCATTCGGGGAGGGGTTTACCCCTCCCCCTACCCCCTCCCCTGGACCTGGACGTGGGGTTTCGCGAGGTGTCAGGGCGTCCAAAACGGCCTCGGCGAAGAAGCCAAAATCATTGATTGTACTGTGGTTTTGGCACCATTTTGGCCTCCTGAGGGGGCGACTGTAATCCGTAACCCCCCCTCCTGTCTCCGGTGATCGATCCCACCCAAGATGGTCCCAAGAAGCGCCCAGGAGGCTCCAAGAGGTCCCAAGAGGCCCCCAGGAGGCCCCCAAGAGACCCCCAAGAGGTCCCAAGAGACCCCGCACATGCACCCAAGATGCTCCAAGAGGCCTCGGCGAGAATGCTAAATCATTGATTTTACTAAGGTTTTAGTCACATGTTGGCCTCTTGGGGGGGCACTGATTAAGATGACTCCAAGAGCGCCTGGGAGAGGCCAAATTACCTCCAAGATGGCTCAAGATATCCCAAGATGTCTCATAATGGCTTCCTCTGTGTGCTGCCCACTTCCCTGATCGAGGCAATTCCTCTGGGCATCGTTTCTCGGAAGGCGGCGGGGCTTCTCAGAAGCCCTCGCGCCTTCTGGAAGATGTATTCTGTGTCTTCGGAGGTTTTGTATCTTAGACATCTTCTGAGAAGGCCAGGGGGCTTACGAGCCTTCTGAAAAGTGCCTGCTTCCTCAAACTTCCACCTTAGGGTGCGCGCAGCGCCGAGAGGAAGGGAGGTGCCCAAACGCCTCCGTGGCCAGACATCCGCGGCGATCCAAGCACAAGAATAGCTACCAGCTCCTGTATCATACTGGATTCTAAAGCCTGATAGGTCCCAAGGCCCGAAACATGTCGAACACAAGAGCAGGCGAGGGTCCTCATCCCCACCCGCCCAGGAGGACCTCTCACTGTACACCTGTAACGATTCTGGCCAGGCCCATTCTTGGCCCAGGATCGGCAAGGAAGGCATAATTGGATGAGCAAGCAAATTCATCGACATGAGCGTTTGTAGTTCCGCGCGGGTTTCTTGGATCGGCGCTGGGCTCCCCTTCCTGGCGCGCGGAGCGCGCCAGTGGCGGCGCCGGAAGTGCCGATGGGGGGTCCGAGCGCCGAGCCGAGACATCCGCGAGGAGCTCCAAGAGCTTATGTTTACGCCGCTTCGGTTCCTCGCAGTAGAAAATACGATGCACCGATTCTGGGCCCGTGATCGGCCATGCCAGGATCTGTGCAGGTGCACCAGTGGCGCCCCCTCCGATCGGCGGACCTTTTCACGTGCCATCTGCCGCCAAGCCATGCTCGGGGTCTCGATACGGATGGTAGTGGTAGTCCTCGGGCCCCCCGTGCGGAGGGGGCAACGAGGCGCGCTGCGTCAAGGGCCGAGAAGCTTCTTCCGCCCTGCGACTCGCGCCGAAGGAGGCCACGGTTCGCTCCAGCTTCCCCTGGAGGTCTCAGGATTTCCAGTCCACCCGTATCAGAAGGAGGCGTGGTAAGGAAGAGGAAGGGCCTGGGAGGCCCACGTGTGAACGTTCTTCGAACGAGGGGTTGGCCGGCGAGAATCGCCAAGGGCGGGCCGAAAGGGCAAGGATGCAGAGGTACCCGTGGGAAGGCTGCCCATCCTTACTGTGCGAGTTGGCTGTGCACCCGGGTGGACCTGGATCTGCGATGCTTCACCCTGATCCATCCCGCCTGGTCCAGCTGCTGCCGCCCTGCGGCTCGCGCTGGGGCGGCCACGACTTGCTCCGACTTCCCCCCTGGGGATCTCAGGATTGCCCTGGATCGACCTGGATTTGCGATGCTTCTGATGGGCCTGTTTTCCACCACCACCACCATAAGTTGGAGGGGGAGGGCGTCCTCCTCCTCCCCCTCCTCCTCCTCCTCGTCCTCCTCCTTCTCCTCCTCCTCCTCCTCCTTTTCGTCCTCCTCCTCCTCGTTCTACCTCCTTCCTCCCTCCAACTTATGGTGGTGGTGGTGGAAAACAAGCCGATCAGCTTCACTCTGATTTATCCGGCTTGGGTCCCCACCAGTCGATTGGCGAGAGAAGAATTGTCCAAAGCCCCGGGGGGAGCAGCGGCGACCCCGACAGAAAACAGGCCGATCAGCTTCACTCTGATTTATCCGGCTTGGGTCCCTACGAATCGATCGGCGAGAGAAGAATCCTCAAAAGCCCTGGGGTGGAGCGGCGGCGACCCCGACAGTCGCCATTGCGCCGCGGCAGTGGTCGTTCCCCCTGTTGGGGAGGGGAGGCGCTTCTTGGAGGAGCAGGCGACGCCATAATGACTACCTACCAGGCCACCCCAACCCAACCCGCAGACACGAATTTCGGGTTGGAGGGGGTACGGGTTTCATACGTGCTTTTTCAATGTTCCCCGACCCCACCCCCACTGGAAATGGAGGGCAAATCGAGGCCTTCGGGCTGGGTTGTGGTGGTTTGGTGGGTGGTGACATAAGCGTACACGACGGTCGGACGAAGCAGGTAAAAACAGGAAGCAGGAAGGCGGATCGACAGGAGATTGGGCTCAGGCCCCCCCAGAGAAGAACAGAACACAGAACCAGCATGTCGACTCTTGAAATAGGAAGGCGCTTGAAGCAGATTGGGATCTGGGAATCCAGAAACTAGAAACACCTGCTTTCAACGACCGGCGCGTAACTTCTTGGAGGTTCGCGCGGATGTCTTGGATGGGCGCTGACCCCTTGTCTGACTCGCGGAGCGCGCCGGGGGCGGCGCCGGAAGCGCCGCCGGGGGGGCCTAGCGCCGATCCAAGCGATCCGCGCGGGCCTTCGACTAGGCCGGGCGTCTCCTCCTACAGGCTGATTTTGCACGAAAAATGGAAATAGTCAAACAAATAGTCAACAAGAGTCACAAACCGTAGAAAGATCGTCCCCAGGCGATTTTTGGACTATTTTTGAATATTCCTCCTGTTGAGGGGCAGGCCCAACTCAAGCCCAGCGCCAATCCAAGCGATCAGCGCAGACCTTCGATTAGGTCGGGCGTCTCCTCCTACAGGCGGATTTTGGACGAAAAATGAAAAATAATCAAGAATACCCCGAGGTTGTCAAGAATAGTCAACAAAATCACCCTTGACATGTTTTGGCGCTATTTTTGAATGTTCCTCCTGTTGAGGGACGTGCCCGACTTAAACCTTCGAGGAATTCGATGTCTGCCGTGCTGCCGCGGAGCGGCGCCCAAGGCTGGGCACACGGGCCTGCGGCGCGCGCACGCGGGGGCTCTTCGAGGGAGGCGCTGCTTCCAAGGAGGACGGAGGCGTCTTGGAGGGAGGCTTCTCTTCGGGAAGGGGGGAGGGCTTCTTAGAATCACTACCTACCAGACCACCCCAACCCAACCCGAAGACCCGAATTTGACCCGAAATTCGGGTTGGGGGGGGGGGTTACGGGTTCCATGTGTTTTTTCAATGTTCCCATACCCCCCCCACACGAAATGGACGGCAAATTGAAGCCTTCGTGTTGGGTTGGGTTGGTTTGGTGGGTAGCGATAGACGGAGGCTGCTTCTTAGAAGGCGCCAGCCATACGTCTACGGACAATACCCGCGCCTCCCAAGAAGCGCGGATGCGTCTACCCAGAGATCCGTCATTGCACAAACAAATGCAGCACCAAACAAAAATCAAGACCAGGGTCCTGGACCCCATCTGTCTGCGTCGTTTTTTTTAACCGGATCGATCTGTGAGGGTCCCAGGGCCCGAAACGAGGCGAAAACGCCCGCTGTGAAAAAAATCCAACGCCAGGATCTCAAGGTAAGATGGACGAGCGCGTTCCACGACTCGCAAAGTAACTGCTCGCAAATGGCCCGGATCCGCCGCGGGGGATCTACGGTTCAATTCGTCACAAAAGACATACGTGTTTCGGACGTTTGCGAGTACGCACCTTGCGAGTACTGGAACGCGATCGGTGATAAGAAGCCTTCCCCCCCGCTACCCTCGGTCGATCGCAGGACTGGGTTTAGTGGGGCCTGGTTTAGTGATGTGTACTGGGGGACGCCCCCCCCTGCCCCGTTCCACTAATCGGAACTGCCGTCACCCGAAAAAACACCAGCTACGGCAGACCTGGTTTAGCGACTCTGACCAACTCAGGGGCTTTGGGGCCCTACTACTAACTGGGTCCCCTTACCTGGGGTCCTGGCTACTCCAAATCCCTAATTAATCGTCCCCCAGGTCCGGTTTTTTTAAGCGCCTTTTTTGTAACTAGGGGGGTCCAATTCATTAGGGCGCTTTCTTTGGATCGGAGCTTAGGGTGTCCAGTTTCTTATGGCGCCCCGTCGAAGAAGGGGGTCCGGAATATTAGGTCGCATTTGGAGGGGGGTCTGGCTTTTTAGGGGGGTCGATTAATAATATATTTGGAGTGACGGGGTCCTCTTACCTGGGGTCCTGGCCACACCCGATCGGTGATTAGAAGCCTTCCCCCCTGCTGCCCCCCTCTGCGAGTGGCCGAAGTGGGCGGCTTCGCGTGCCAGCGGGCCGCTCTGTGCTCCTCGGCTGCCGTCGAGCGGCGGCGGGGGTCGTCGCCGTCGTCGTCGTCGTCGGCGTCGTCGTCGTCGTCGTCGTCGTCGGCGGCGTCGTCGTCGTCGGCGCTGTCGTCGTCGTCGCACTCGTCGTCGTCGTCGTCGCCGTCGACTTATGCTGCCGTCGTCGGCGGCACCGTCATCGTATGTCGCCGTCGTCGTCGTCGTGGGTGGCTTCGTCGCCGTCGTCGTCGTCGTGGGTGGCTTCGCGTGCCGAGAGGCTGGTCTGATACTTGGGTCTCAGGTCCACGCGCAGGTGAACCTGGGCGGGCGGCGGCCAGCGGCGGCGACAACGCCGGCGGCGGCGAGCGGCACGACAACGACGACGGCGACGACGAGCGGCACAACGCCGACGACGACTACGCCGACGATGCCGACGACGACGACGACGGCGCCGACGACTGCGGCGATGAGGACGCCATCGACGACGCCGACGACGATGACGACGACGACGACGGTGGCGACGGCGGCGGCGAGGACGCCGACGACGGCGACGGCGGCGACGGCGGCAGCGACGACGGCGGCGGACACGACTGTGTGCCTCCTCGTCCATGGCTGTCCGTAAGATGCACTCGGCCGCAGATCGAACGGACTGCGTGCAGCACCGCGTCGGCCGAGGCGAGCTCCACTCGCGGAGGGCGGGGGTTGGCCGCTGGGGTGAGGTCGGGCCTGTCCCCCTACAGAGGGGTTTTGGACGAAAAATGACAATTTGTCAACACATACTCCATGAATGCTCATATGTAGTTAAGAAATCGTCCCCTGGCTATTTTTGTTACGATTTTTAAATAATTCCCCCTGTAGAGGGACAGGCCCGACTTAACACTGGGGGTGCGGAGCTAGATCGGCCGCTGCCGCAGCGAGGTGCAGAGGCGGGCGCGCAGACCGCTGACCTGACCGAGCGGTGCACGGGATCTGCCTCCCTCCCTCGGTCCGGGGCAGGCTCCCGCATCCTCCCCTCAAGTGGTAGAAGCTGGCGCTGGATGATGTCTCGGGCGCCGCGGCCTTCAAAGAGCGTTCCGGAATGCTCCCCGAGAGCGTTCCAGAGCATTCTGGATAGGATTTACCTTCGTCCTAGCGCCTTAAGTCGGGCATGTCCCCCTCCAAGCAGATTTTGGACGACAAATACATTCGA